CAGAAATAATAGCAGTCCCTTCCATTGAGGTTTACTTCCCTTTTTTTCTATGATGGAGGTAGAATGTTGGAACCCACCTGTGGTTCTTTTTTTCCTTAAGACATGATTGATTTGATTATCTTCTTTTCCAACAACAGAAATTTTTCTTCTCCTCGATATATGGAGGCCAGATGAAGCATACCTACCAGCTGCCATCCTGTATTTAACCGTATTTCCAAACCTCAACCCAATGCAAGTAGAAAGGATAGTTAAGATCTCAACAACATCCTTCAAAAACTGAATTTATTCCAAAGCCTGTCTTTCTGTAGTTGGGTTTGATTGTACCTATCTGCAGCTCTTCCAGAGATATTTTGTGAGTAAAAAGCTCTTGCTTTCTCTGGCAATTCAAATTTCTAAATAAAATAATGGGAAAAAGGCGATTCTTGCTGCTTAGCAGAAAGGCTAGTACCTATTAAACAGTTTCCCAGCCAGCATGGGAATATTGGGAGTTGAAGTCCACAAATTTTAAAACCTTAGCAAGTTGCAGGGGTGTCAAACTCGTGGCTCATGGGCTGGATGCATCACGCGCTGGCAATGTCCACCCCCATTTTAGCAAAGGGGGGGAAGGCATGATACGTAATGTGATGACAATGTGACACCGCAAGTTTGACATCCCTGCACTATTGTGTTTTTTAAATTCCCTTCAGACTCCTGAGGAAAGTGGGAAATACTTTTATATTAAAGACAAAGCAAAGTCATTCGTTATTATATTCCCTTCAAGATTTAACTTAAAAAACAAAACAAAACTATAGCTAAAGGGGAAAAAAAAACCACAATGTACTTCTTCATTGACTGGACAGTTCTTATTTAGTAAACCATTGGTTTTAACCTTCATGAATGTAAATTCAAATATTATCAGGAATGTATATAATGCTTTAGTGAGGCACATGTTCCATGGTTTACATGGAGAATTTAAATCAAATGATGCTATCTTGTCCTCAAAAAACACTTAATGCCAAGTCCATATTTGCTTTTACTGAGGCTTAAATATGTCTTAAATCAACAGGATGACAAAGATCAGGCTCTGTGTTACATGTTTATATGTTAAAATGCTATACTCAGGTTCAGGGGTGGGTTTCTACTGGTTCTGTCCACCTCTGTAGAACTGGTAGCTCTGAAGAGCAGCAGACAAAGAACCGGTTCTATGTCTGCTGATGTTTTTGCCCACCTGTCCACCCAGGCTCTTACCTGACCGTTATTTCCTGATTTTTTTCAATTTCAGCTGCCGTGCGAGGCACAGCTGCAGTTAAAAAAGCAGGAAAAAAGGGCTTTTTAAAAGGCTGCTTCTCTGCACGCAGCATGCTGATGACGATGTACAGGCACGAGGGGCAGCGTGCAGGGAAGCACATCGTAAATCACCGAACCTCGTAAATGACCGAACTGGTAGTTAACCCTGTCGGATCCCACCCCTGCTCAGGTTACTCACATTTTAAACCCAAAATGAAAAATTTATTAACAGACATTGTTGTTCCCTTCCCCTGCCCCACCCCCCAAAAAAACAATACTGTAGTAACTAGCAAAATGACTTCATTTTTAATCTAGGCTGGGAGTCCTGTCACACCTTCACATCTTAATGGGAAAACTCAGTATGATTAGCAATGGCAGGCAATTGTCTCTTAAAGAGAACTTTCTACCACCTCCATGGTTTTTCCTAGTGGATCAGGCAGAGCGGGATGCGGTGTAAGTCAGCCCTTCAGTTCAGATTGGGTAACAGAGCCAACAAGCCTGGCTAGGACATCTTGTGTGCCTTACAACCTGCAGCAGGATTTTCAGCAGGGTCCTGAGACTCCATGACAGTTATACCTATAATGAGATGTTTAAAAGGCCACATGCTGTCTTTTCTTGGGGGACACCTGACAAAGCGATGTCCCAAGCATCCACAGCTAGTAAAGGCAGAAGAAAGCACCATGCTATACAATAAGAGGCAAGTGGACTTCTTCTGGCATATTTACCCATGAGCACAGTAGAAATGAGACCCATATTTTATCCAACTTGCAGGGGAGGACAAAAGGTGGACACACAAACATTTTATGCAGCAAGGCAAATGGTGTTCTTTTAAGCATATCTGCAGCTAGGCATTTATTTTATGCAATTATTTGCCTGGAGTCAATTGAGTTCCTTACGTTTCTGGAAAATGTCCTTGGAAGTCATGCCCAACTTTGTTTTGTAAATCTCACTGGGTGTCCTCTTTTTGTTATTTATGCATTTGTGGGGTCACTTTCTCATTGATATAAAGCATTAGCCCAGAAAGTTTTGTCACCTGAGGCAGAAGAGCAAAATTTCCTGTTGCTTTTCTTGCTTGCAAAGTTAAGGATTATCATTCCAAAACTAGCCAAATTATTTTGACATCCAAGGCAAAAAAAAATCCACAACTTCCAGTCTCCCCTGTTGTAAAAACAAAAAATCAGTTCCAGGGACTCTAGGAGGCACCTAAGGTAGCCTCAATCCTGCCTATAGATAAAGTTAGCCGAAAGCAAGAGAACTGTATGGGAACGATGATGGCCTTCACATAAACCTGTCAAAGACAGTAGAATAATGGCAGCAGAGAGAGGGGAAAACTTTGCTGCTTGGTGTAAATGAATCAACAGGAGGACCAGAATCCTAGATCTTGACAAACTCTAGAGCCAATAACAGAGGAAAAAGCATGGCCTACTACAATGTCTGTAAGCATATATAAGGTGTTAAGGATAACTGCACCTAGCTAAAAGATTCCCCTCTCCTGATTATGGTAGGGGCCTTGGTTTCCTTTGGATCCAAACCTGAGAGTTCTGAGGTAGATTCACCTACTAAGTGAAGAGGAACCCATTAGGCAAACTTGAGATAGGACCTCGGGAAGAAGTTACTGAGGCAAAATACCCAATTCATTTGCAGCACCGAGGAAGCAAAATTAACTGCAATAGATGCTTCAAGTATTTTGCAGATCCCCATGTTAATCCTAATATTAAAAAATATGATTTTTTTTCCCAATGCTCTTCCAAATTTCTGCTCTGGACTGCTACGTATTAATAGCTGCTTTAGTACTGGTTTTTGGATTACAGATAAAACTGCTCACTGCACTGGTGAAAAATGGAGTAATGACACGAACTGTATTCTGTTTGCTCTGGTTGTAATTATGACCATCGTACAACTCTTACAAGAAACGTCTGCCTGAACCCCTAACTATAAAGTCATCTTATCTTAAGTTACTTTAACTGTTCAAACATGAAGGTCTTTAGAAGGGGTTCTTTTAGAAAGGATTTTTGGAAATAAGATCCCTAAAGATTATGTTCCAGAATTGAAAGCATTGCCAACAAGCTCCAGCACAAAAATAGGGGACATCCTTTGAAGTAAGCAGGTATAAGATAAACATGGCAGAGTGCCAGTGAGAAATTCATTGTTAGTATAGGAACTTATCAGGCTCATCATTATGAATCTATATATTGCAATCTGCACAAATTGCAATTCAAAAATAATAATATACAATGTATATATTAAGGAGATGTGCACACAAAAATGTCTATTATTAGAATAAGATATGAATACGGATTTTAAGGAAAGCTCAAGAAGAAAAGTGCATTAAAATGAGTATATTATTCTTCTGCCACAAGAGGTTCAAACATTGGCCAAATCCCCAAACACTGATTCATGTAAAAGGAAATAGATATATTTATCTATACTTTATCACAACAATTCTTTTAAGACTATGATCAGGTTCAGATTGATGCTATCTTTAAACTGAAAAATGCTAATGTTTTTCAATATTAAAAATAAATTGACATATGCATTCAGGAAATCTCTGGAGTATCTGTTTTAAAAAAAATCAGAAATATAAAAATATCCATACTATATTCAAATCATCTGCTTAAGAATTTTTGGTAACTGAATGGCAGAAAAAAACTACTCAAGTTTCATTACTGAATTATGGCTTTATAAAGTGTGCAAAGAGAACACAGTTGTATCCAAAATGTCAGTTTTTCCTGATGTAGTAGTAGTTTTATCTTAGACATCAAAATAAGACTTGGCATTAGGAAAAAACTATACAAAGTAAACATTTGGGAGAGTATTGGAAGAAAAATAACAAAATTAGTTTTGGATTTCTTTTTAAAAAAAATAATAACCTCAAGATTAAAAAATAATTATGTTGAACAGAAAATTTCAGCTTTGTACATTTGCCTGCTCCTTCTCCTCTGTGTTCCCATTGAGAAATTTCATGAAACAGGCAAGGAAGAATTTAGCTAATCATGATCCAAACAGTGTTAAGCACTTGTATATTCCACCAATTTCAGATGGAAGATTAAGTACATTCCACTGAAATCAATACAAGATTACAGCCTGATTATATGCATATTTACTCAGAAGTGAACCTAACTTCCTAGGAAAGGGCTTTAAAATTTGCTCAACTTGGCTGGATTTTGCCCATTTTTCATTAGGGAAAGCAGATTCCGATTCCCACAACTGCAGGAAATCACATTTTGTCCATCCTTTGGGTAAAAACAGATTTAACGATTGTCAAAAAATGGAACCTGAAGAAATGTTCTCCATTTCTTTGCTGCCCACTCCCAAACACATATTCACCTTTGAGGTGAACCACAATCATACCTAATCCAAAGGGAAATAGAGCACCAACTTAGGACAGCAATTATCAAGTGCATGAAAAAGTGCCTATAAAAAATAATGCAGCTATCACATTATTTCCTTTCTCTGGAATATCTAGATATATATTCATATCTAGCATGTATAACCTTGCATGTGATTCACAGATAAATTCAGAGAGCTCTGCAATTAGTCAATTATTTCAGCCCTTGTCCAGCTCGTAGGAGCAAAACTGCTCAAAATTGGTCTGTACAGATCAAGGAACATTCCCCTTGTGGTTTTACTCTTTCTATGGTTCAGCTGATTGAGAATTCAATTAGTCCTGAGAATGAACTCAAAGAGGTGGTGTTCTTCTTAAAAAGACCTTGCAGTGGGAAATGCATCTATTTTTCTCATCTGCAATACCATGAGTACCTGCCTGGAGTTTCCCATGAAGATCTGCTGGTCAATGGCGGCTTGATGGAACAAATTCTGCCTCAGGGTTGGTGCCACTCTTCTTTTAACTAAAGTTTTTGCTTTGGAATCACCACGCAGAGGATTAATAAACGGATGTCCTGGTGGAACAGAAGCTGGTAACATGCATTATTTCCCATTTTGTTGTTTCTTGGATCTTTCTTTTTTATGCAATAAACCAGCAGCATTTTCTTTTCCTGTCAGTCATTGAAGAAACGCCGTAGAACGAATTGGCCCAGCACAATCACGGCGGCTATCATCAACATGTATTTCCAATAAATATTGCTCAAGTCCAGTGCTGCCACCTAGAGACAGAACAGTACCATTATAGATCCAAATCTGTATTAGCCTTCTCCAAACCTGGTGTTACCCAGAAGTGTTGGTTTTAAACACCTAGCACTGTCATCAGCCAGCTCACTGGGAATGGAGGGAATTACAGTCGCCAAAAGAGAAAGCATTAAGTTGGGGAAAGGTGGCTTTAAGATCTTCTCTCAGCATATTCTTTCAAAAGAGTAATTCCGGAAAGGGTCACTAGTATCTGAAGAACTAAAATGCATACACTTGGGTTTTAGAAGGAAGACAACCCTCCCCTGTGCCTTTCTTCACAATTATTCATCAAGGTCCATGTATTATTTACCGTTTGCTTAGCTGCTTTGCATCATGGTTCAGAGGCAGAATGTATGCTTTAGAAACAGAAAATATTAGCCTCAGTATCCCCAGAGAGTTTTAGGAATGCCCTTCCTGGAAATCACTTGGAGCATTTATGAACTGAGTAGCATATAAATTACAGCAAAGTAATCAACCCATCTCCATCAAACAATGCAAAGCTAGAAAGGTCAATTATTTGACCTAGTTGAAAAGATAGCTTCATAGGTTCCAAAGGTCTCTGGTTCAAATTCCTGTCAAGAGCAGCTATGGATTTTCTTTGGCCTCTTCAGTTGAAGGAACCAAGTAGGATGTTAGGCTTCCATAGTGCCCCTAGAAGCACTAGATTGAGCCCATCATAATAGATTCCAGTTGCCTAAATGGAGAAGTAGACTTTATACAAACTAGAGGCTTACTAGAGGCAACTGCAGAACAAATTGGACCTCTTAGGGTGGAAGTTTTTAATGATGTCTTATTGGCAGCCAGGATGTTGGACTCATGGAGGGGGGCATTGATTTCGCTGATCCCGAAGGAGGATTCGGATCCCCGATATATAAACAATTATAGGCCCATTTCACTTTTAAACACTGACTATAAAATATTCACTTCTATTATAGCAAGTAGACTAAAAAGAATGTTAAACGTGCATATAAATGAAGATCAAAATGGATTTCTCCCGACCAGACAAATTAGGAACAACTTAAGAATAGTACTAGATGTCTTAGAATTTTATGAAGCCCACCCCGAAAAACAAATTGCACTTATGTTTTTAGACGCAGAGAAGGCCTTCGACAATTTAAATTGGCAATTTTTAATCCAAAAAATTTATAATATGAATTTAGGCACCAAATTTGAAAACATTTTAACAACTATTTATGATACACAACAGGCTAATATTATAATAAACGGGGAATATACCCACCCAATAAAAATAGAAAAAGGAGTCAGACAGGGCTGCCCACTCTCACCCCTGCTCTTCATATTATCATTAGAAACATTATTAATGCGAATTAGACAGAACCCAGATATAAAAGGATTAAAGGTTAAGAAAGAAGAATATAAGTTGCAAGCGTTTGCGGACGATATGGTTTTTTTCATTGAGGAACCAATAGAAAGAGGACAAAAATTGATGAATGAATTAGAACAATTTGCAGCAGTAGCAGGCCTCGAAATTAATAGGAAGAAAACTAAATTAATGACTAAAAATTTAACAGAAAAACAGAAAATAGAATTAGAAGAAGTTATGGGAATACAAGTGATAAAGAAAGCTAAATACTTAGGAATATGGTTGACAGCACATTGTAAGACACTTAAGGAAAATAATTATGATAAATTGATGCAACAGGTAAAGAAGGATTTAGAAACATGGGGTAAGCTGCAACTTTCATTATTAGGCAGGATCGCTGCCATTAAAATGAATATTCTTCCAAAATTTCTATATCTATTTCAGACGATCCCAATTAAAGTACACAATTTTTTTGAAGAACTTAATAAAATAACTGTTAAATTTATTTAGCAAGGGAAAAAACCTAGAATAAATTTAAAGGCAATGCAGGATATGAAGAGCAGGGGAGGGCTGGCACTTCCAAATTGGGAGTTATATTACGTAATTAATATATTTCAAAGGATACTCAGGTAAGATGGTTCTTCGGTTCACTTACCCATCCTCCTTGCTGAGCAATCCATCGTGCAATGCGATTGTGTAGCACGAATTCAGCCATGTAACGTGCAATTCTTCTCAGGAAGCCAGTTATGCCATGCTGGTATACATGGATTGCCATCCTGTAGCCGAAGCCCAGCAGCGCTATCACACGTCCCCAATTGATGCCGCTTTCAAACAAACTGGGGAAGAGAAGGGTCCGTTGCAAATTAGAGATTTTCGGTTCTTTGCTACTTCAGGAAATGCATTACACTGAGGTCTTGATCCCAGCAACTTAACGTCTTGTTCATGCTAATGGTTCTAATGGGAAGAAGAACTGCAGCTTGACCCTGGGAAAACACTTCTGCAATTTAAGGAACTGCTGACAGGTGTTATATGTGTAGCTGTGCACTTTCTAAAGCAAAGTTTCTCAAACTTAGCACCTTTATGATGAGTGGACTTGGCTGTGTAAAGTACCTTTTTCCTCTGAATCTGATGGCTTCCCAGACCAATGATAACCATTATCATGATGATTAGATTTTGATTCCAGCTTTTTTACATATAAAACTCAAGGCAATGCACACTAATACTCCTGCCTCGTTTCCTATTACTTGCATAGTAAATCTAGGAAAAAAGAATGAGATGCCACATGTTTCAATCTCTAGGCTTTTTGAAATGGTTTTGAAAACTGGAAGTTAAATACAAAGATTGGTTCTATTTCAGGCCCACAATCCCCTCGTTTTCCAATCCTGAAACACTAGAAAATTCCAACACCAAAATTTGGCGACAAATCACTGAATATAAGCAGCACAAGTTCATACCAATTTCTAAGGGGGAAAACAAAATGACAAGTTGATTTTTTGGAAAAGCTCAACACCCTAAACAAGGAAAGGGGGGGGGGGCTAAAATGATGGAAAAATGTGAAATATGTGTCAAAGTACAGCTCCCCCCCCTTTTTTTTTAATGTTTTGCCTGTCCACAGGAAAAACAAAGGCCAGTAGCCTTTTGAAAAAGCATCTTTTGGACAACCATGACGTGGATGACTTATGACCTGGATAAATACTTAAATCTGTAGGATCAGCTCTGATCTGGCTATCCCACCCTGGAGGGAAAGAAGCTGGCCTTTCTTTCCGCTACAATGTCCATACAGGCTTATTCTGCCACCATGATATTGGGCAGCATCCTTTTAAAAAAAAATCTGTGCTAGCATGTGGCTATAGATATTTCATTTTTTAACTTTGGTGTATGGTTGGTTAGAAATCCTTAGCTATCTGATGGGGGTGATTCTGATATCCAATTTTAAAAATCAGCTTTATTACATTAGATGTGGCTGAAAACTGAGCAGGCGTAGCATGGAGAGTGTTCCCATACATAGCAACTGAAAAAGAGGAAAGAGAAAGCACAGTAAGTGCTGTTTTACCTCAAGGCAGCAAAATGGTGAAACTTGGCTTCCCAAGGAGGGGACAGCAAGAAAAGAGGACAGGAAAGAGAGTTAGGTAATCTTTAGATGGAACAGGAAAACAATGTTTGTGAATGTAAAGATGCATGTATATACATTGTCACTGTTTTCTCTCAGTTGGTGATTTTTACCCTTTGTCATTTCCTTTTTTAAAAAAATAAAAATCAGATGAAAAGGAAAAGAAAGAAACAGAGGGGAAAACTGTGACTAAATCTTTCCTAAGCGGAACACCATAAACCTCCTTACAGCCTCTTGTTTGGGTATCACTGCCATTATAATCTCCAGGTTCATAACGGTTTTCATTGGCTTCATGCTACATCTGATGGCCTAAGAACCTGAAGAGGAATTCTTCTGAATCAGATCAAAGTCCATTTTTAGTCCAGCGTACTCTTTCCCATGTTATCTTGTTCCTAAGATAACACACCTGGCAAGCTTACAGGCAGGTCAGTAGTCTACTCTTGCTGCTGTATCCCAGCAACCAGCCCTAAATTAAGATGGTGGCCACTACTCTGTGTGATTGAAGATCCCACCCTCTTTTTCCAATCTGGCTTAGACCCCATCCTGCATGGAGCTTCAGATGAGAGATATACCCTGGGTCTGATTCTGGGGATGAACTGGCTTCATGTAGCTTCAGTGAGGCTGGGAGACAGCTTCTGAAGTCAGAGCACCTTGTCCAAAGCTGATCCTTTCTCTCCATCTTCACAGGGAGAGGTCTGACATATCCTTTCTTCTGTGGGAACCCTTTCCAGAGGCCACAGAATTACAGGAATGCAAATATGTACCTTTTTATAAGATGCCACAAGGCTGGCCTTACATTCAGAAGATTTAAAAAAATTTTTTAACTGAAGAACCAATTGCCTTTATGCTTCACACAGAAGTAAATCCAAGATCCTGTTATCAAGAGATGCTGTGTGTGACAGAGAAAGTTCTCCAATTCTCCTGAAGGCTCAAAAACCACTTACACAGAACATGTGTTACTCAAAGTGACAGCAGCATATGATTAAATTAGGGGGTGGATTTTGGAACCAAGGTAGTAATTGGCATATTTTTAAAAAACCGTTTGGTATATCTGATTATGAGAACAGCTTAAGATAGGTGGAAAGCAATCCCTCCCCCCAAAATAAAATAAATAAATATCAGTTTAGATTTGTGATTTTGGTCTGCTCCATATTTGTTATTTGTTTGGTTTACATGCCACCAGGAATCCTTGTCATGTACAAGCAGTATAGAGGTTAACATCAACCACAACCTTAAAAAAGACATAAGCATCAAACTCACTTACCTGGAGGCTATTCTGGTGAAGTACTCATATGCATTGTCCTTGGAAGGCTGCAAGGACTTCAGCATCTCAGAGAACTCCTTATCATACCGTGCATTGATGTCATCACCAATGATAGCTAAGCGTCGACCCACCGAATTGTTGATGCTGCACAATGAACAAATAAACTGGTTAAATTGGAACGTGGAGGCAGATTAAGTAAACATTTAAGAGCCTGTGGTACTTACCTATTTGGCTCCTGCTGAATTGCAGCAATTTCTGGATCAACTGGCGCATCCCCCTCAGTTTGCTCCTGCTCCTGCTGGTATCGATGGAAAGCATAGCTCCGGAACACCTCCTCAGTCTGTTCAGCTACCAAGTCCTCTGCAGAAGAGATAACAGGGTCCTTCAGCTATTAGCAGCTTCATTTTGAGCAGAGGTAGGTCACAATTATATAAACATGGTTTTCCCTTCTTTATTTGCTTATATTATTATCAAAAAACTCTGTGAAGCAGAATAGACATTTCTTCTGCTTGTAAGTCCATTAGATTTAATAACATTTTCCCAGCTAAAAGTTGCTCCAACCTGCTTATGGACAGAACATCACCTATGAGTAATGTGCCAAGATCATCACTGATCTTGACAGTCAAGTCAGAACTTGAATCTCATTTTCCTGGTCCAAGTATTTTCCAATTAATTTTTTCTAAACATGTTCAGCAACACTGTCTATTATATCTTAGATGCTGATGGAAAAAGGCAGCTTCTGCTTAAGGATTTTAGCAGAGTTTGACTCAAAATTAATCTTTAAGAAATTCAAATTCTAGGTCTTAGCTAATCTGCAACTTGTTTGTTTATCCCAAAGGTGCTTTTCAAAAGGCAATTGAATTTTCTTGTTTTTTTTTCCTTGAGAACATTTTGCTTCTCATCCAAGAAGCTTCTTCAGTTCAAGAAAGTCCAGCTGCTTTTTAAAAAGCACTTTTGGGATAACCATGACAGGGATGATTGAAAATCTCCATAGACTCAATGGAGGGCAGGAAGAGCTCTTCCATTGGTTATCTAATGCTGGTCTTTCTTATCCAGTTTTTGTTTTTTAATCACAACAAATATTTACAACAGGTAAGTTATGGCATCCTGAACTATTGTCTTTACAAACAAAGGAGAACTACTGTTACTAAACAGCAAAATAACTATATTCTTCTTCTGCATTATTAAGAGCAAAGAAACTTCTTAAAGAGAAGTCAATCAACTTGAATTTATAGAATTTAATATCGGACACCTAGGAAGAGCAGGAAAGAGCACTGGTGAAGCATAAAAACTGAATGGCTTACAATCTTGCTCATGGTAATTTGGTCACCGATATATTAAATAACAGGAAAAAACAGCAAATCATATTAAGCACAATAGTATCTTAATCTTCCACAATATACTAAGCACCACTTTGTCAACAGCAATTCAATCTACCACATCATCCCAAAGGCCCTCTAAAAGCCATAGCTTTCCTGAATGAAACAGTAGTAGGAATATGGTCATTTTGCAAGCAAGCCTTCTTTTTTTAGTTCAAGCCTTCTTTTTTTAGTTCATCAGATGGTCAGATTTCACTCAAGGAAGGTAGCCTTGAAGGATCTGAAAGTAAGGATTGGGCTCAAATTTTCAATCCCCCTTCTTCTCCATTAGTATACACTTATGGGCTGAATTCTATACACGTGATCTGTAATCTATAACACTCATCACAACATTGTCATAGTCCATACAGGCTGGAATATAACTATGCACAATTAAGAACTCACTAAACAGATCAGCAATATTGAAGAAGACAATGCAATCTGCAGAAAAAACAGCTGGTAATAGGATTATTTACCCGTTTGCTTTTCCCTCTACACTTCTCTCTCCCATAACTCTTTTTTTTTTATCCATTAAAAACATCCAAAAAGATTTTGCTGAGAAATTTTACTCTGGCCTTGAGAAGGAAGTGGGAGAGGTGAAATGACTCAGCCCTGACAAACTGTATGAGAAAACATGAGAAAGAGAATCTCTTGGCTGTGTTGTCCTTAAAAAAGAGGATAACACAGATTCTGTTAACGTATTCTGCAATAATAAAATAGCCTTCCTAGAATCCCTGTGGTGCCTATTTCTTGATCTGATTTACCTTGGGGGGCTGACAGATTTTAATATTTCATATGCTGGATGAGAAGTAATGCAGAAGAGAAGGCAGCACAGAAAGAGATTAACCCTTTGTCATTGGTTACTATTTTTTCCAAACCATGTCTCCCCCCCACCCCCAAGCTATTTTTAGCTGTTTTGGTAAAAGACCTAGGCCTGTTGCCAGATTGTGGCCTCTCTACTCCCGAAATGCAAAAGATAATGCCACAGTAGAGAGGGCTGTATGTACTTTCCCCTCTGTTCCCCTATATTTCAATGGAGAATATGATTATGTGTGCTTAATGGACATTATTTTAGACATTTTGCTCCATTATCTTTCTTTTCAGCTAGCAAGTAAAGTCAAGAAATGCAAACTTTTGTTCATCTCATTTCCCCCGCCAAAAAGCAAGATATTTTCTATTGCACTAAACTATTGTAAGGTAATATTCAAAGCAACAAAGATTCTTTCTAGTTGCAGGATCATTATCATAGGCTAAAGTGGGAGCCAGCACAATGCTAGTAAAATGCTGGATTGTGGAAATTCAAGGTAAAACTAAATCTAGCCCTAAAGCTCATTGATGATTTTAGGACAATTGAGCCTAAACTGTCTTCCAAGATTATTATGAAAGTATTGGGGAATGGCTATGTGTCCTGAAAATTCTAAGGACAGAGCAAAAAACCAGAATGCAGTAAAGCAAATGTATTGAAACTAATGATTATCATATATATGCATACTTCCTTGGAGTAAGCTTCAGTCAAGTTCAATTCCTTGTGATTTTAGGTACATATCCATGTTATTTTTCTTAAGCACAGTAAGAGGGCAGGGATGGTTTGCTACTGCCTTCTTCCATGATTTCCCCCCCAATTTAACTTATAGCCTTTGGACAGGAGCATCTGCAGAATTTGATGAAATTGTCAAAATGACAAAACAAATGTAGTGACAGTACCACATAAAAGTTGCTTCTTCCATGAACAATACCACAATGATTAAGGGATGGATCTTGTATCACAATTGCAGTGTCTTTTGTGATCTGTCCTCCTGTCCCATTTGCTCTGGGATTTCCTTGTGATCCTCCATCCAAGAGCTAAGTAAGTAGGTGACTCTGCTTATTTCTTGAGCCCAAACATGGTCAGCTAATCACAAGTCTTGTGGCAAGACAGTGGAGTGTTTAGAATGATCTTGAAAATGTCCTCTTCTACAGGACATCACGAATCATTATGAGATGCCATGTACTTTTATATGTTTTATATCTAACAAAATTTAAAATCACCAAAGTTTCATGTAGGTCCTGTATGCTCCTGCCATGCTATATACTTCATACTTCACCATATACTTACTATCATTCCAAAAGCCATTTAAAGTCAGAAGCAAGTCGATGCCATAATTCTGTACATATTGGTAATTCTGTACATATTAGTACTGCTGAACTATGGCCAGGGTGGATTATCGTCTACAATGTTTGGGCTGCACATTTGATATTCAGCTTCTAAGTGGGTTTAGGATTAGTATCTTTTTACTAAACGCAGTTAAGACATCTCGTCATATGTTTGTGTCATGTATGGCCACTGCAGGTTAAAATAAAACATTAAATTTTCAGAGGGCTGCAAAGGATAATAGCTATAACCTACAACATTGAATGAGGTTTTGTGGTTAGTGCAGAGCCATGTTCTTTAGTTTCCGGTTAGGCATGAGGTTTCTTTAACCAACCAATCTGCAATCTTATGAAATATTCTGTGCCCCCTTACCAAACCTTCTCCAATTAGATTCTTTTCTCCTTTCCCCTGCAACATGACAGCACTATTACCAACAGCCATTAGGGGAAAAAATCCCCAATTCTCTTTTTGTCTTTACAAAAACATTACTTCCTTTTGCTATATGAGATTTTTGATATTTTTAAATAAATCACCTTAGTAGGATTTGTATCGTGAAAGGCAAAATAAAACTAGTATCGTGAATAAAAAAATTATACTCAAGAAAGCTGTCGTGCGGTTAACATTTTTTGTACTATGTCGTTGAACCCCTTGCTGGCTTTCCACGCTATTGACCTTTCCAAGCTATTTACAGCCCTCCTCCAACTAATCATATATTTATACAGTATCTATATTATTGCATGAAGATTGGAATTATTTGGGAATGTTTTTCATCTTTCATTTAAAGAAGCCACTTAATTATTTTCAAGAGCTGAACTTTCATTGGAAGGCTAATTAAAATGAGGTACAATGGAGGGCCCTGATATGGCTGAAAAATCAGAAGAAATCAGTGTCTTGCACCCAATCAGCACAAGTTTGGGAAAGGAGAACAGCCGCACAAAGTAAAAGCAAGTAATTGCCTCATATTCTCACTGAAGCATTGCAAAATCACCCACAAGTTACAAGCAAACAATTAAAAGAAATCTTTCCCCCCTGCAACCTAGCTTACTAAGAATACAGTCTCTATTTCTACCATATCTTAGCACAGTACTGTAAATGAATCCTGAAAAATAAGCAAATAGGAAAATAAGCAAAAGAGCATTTTTGAAAATTATACCAGCTTCCTGCTTAAAAAAAAAAACTTGCAGGAGATTTAAAATGTAAAGTGAACTGTCTCTTAAAAAAAAACTGCAAAATTGCATTTGGGTCAGGTATTATTAGACACGTTAACAGAACTTTGATTACCAAAAAATCAGGCAGCCTATTATTGTCTACACCGTTTTGCGTTGCCTTAAGACCATTCACCTCCCACAACCCAAAGAGAAACCTGACAGCACAGATTTTATTATTTTACTTAACTTGCCTGAAAAGCTAAACATTTCATCCTCCTCCTCCTTAGGTGATGTCGTGTCCATCGTGGAAGAAAGACTCGGAGCCAGTGACTTAGTTTCAGCTCTTTATTTGCTCCGAGATCGGCTAGGCTCGTAAGGGAAAAGCGGCGGCTTTTATTCTTTGGCCGCGGCGGCCGCAGCCAATGACACCGCTTTGAATCTCCCGCGATTAGTTTCCACCAATCGCGGGAGATTTGCGGCGGGCCAATCACTGTGGCTCGCTTGGCCAATCAGCTCGCCGTGCGTCTTGTCCAATCACCGCGCGGCGTTTACGAGTATGTAAATGACTGTACAGAACAGGTGACATCATTCTACCAGCATCATGCCACAGCAGCCCTAAAGGCAGTGAGTAAAAAACCCACAAAAAATGCATCTCCCTCCTCATCTTTAAAGGATTCTAATCCAGAACAGAGAAAGATGTAACTTTCAGAAAAAGAGAAAAAC